TGCAAGGGGAACCTTTACCTTTTTACCTAGATTTGTTTTATCCTTAGAAAGGGGTCGATCAAACACTAAACACAGTATTCTTTTTCTGCACTAGCAATTGTAACTAAAGTTTAATTGTGTGTGTTTGTGTGTGTGTGTGTGTGTATGTATGTATGTGTATGTATATATATGTATATGTATATGTATATGTATATGTATATGTATATGTATATGTATATGTATATAGTAACATTTTCTTATTTGTTTTTTTCTCATATATATTTTAATCCAATAGTCATATTAATTTTCAGTAATTATCCATTTGAATATTATTGAAACATAACTTTGAGGAATCATTCCAGATTATACAAATAGTACATATATATTTTTGCAAGGTTACAATGAAAATTATTGCCATGTCACCTGCTGGATTTTGGCAGAGCAGAAGAAATCGTTATGATCTCTTGGTGACATCATTAGGAGTCATATGGGTGATTCTCCACTTTGCCATAACGGTAAGTTTCAAGAACCAGTTTGTCTATTCAACGTATGCAGGATATTTTTCCTCTTTTTGCAAATCTGCAAAATGTACACTTCATTGAGGCTTCATCTTGCCTTGTTATGGTCATTCCTGAAAAGATAAGGTTTTTTTTTTGTAATTACAATTAATATTATAACTGAGCTCATTCAGACAGCCACAAATAATTTTAACTAGAATTAATAGAATGCAGTTTTCAAAGAATTCTTCCAGAAAGTAAACACAGTTTACTAAATATTTGCATTGGGCTTAGTTGTTATCATTGTAGCACATCTGTTTATAAACTGTACCATGTCAGGCCTGGAATGGAATTTTACTTGACTGAATATTCCTTCATGCTAAAGTATTCCTGTCTATTAACATTTTTCCCTAATAGTAAAATCAATGCTAGAGAGAAGTTTCTTAGTCCTGTGTATATTTTATGTTAGCAATTGTAAAAAAAAAAAAATAAACTTGATGAAATGTATTCCTACAAAAGCTGCTTACATTACTTTAAAAGTAAAGTTGAGAAATTCATGGAAGATAAATTATGACTTTAAAAATAGTGCCATTATATTTTGTATTGGTCAAGTCAGTGTTGAGTGCTCTATCTAGTTCTACTTAATGGTATCAAAGGTACAAAAAATTAGAATAAGGGCAGAGAAGATCAAAGAGGATTATAGGCAGACTGAAAATTAAATCTAATTTATGTTTTGATTATGTTAAAGCAAAGATAACTAAGAGAAACATATAATAGAGTTTTTCAAGTATCTGAAGAGTTATCCATCAGAAGAAAGTTAAGACCTGTTTTCTATCATCCCATAGAATAATTGCCTTAAATTACAGGAAAACAAATCAGTTAATCTCTATGGAACCTATATGTCAGACGCAACATGCTTTTGGATATGGATACCAGAGGATGGGAGCAAAAAATGGAAGAGAGCTATTGTCTTGATTTCTCTGATTTTTAGAATCAGTTGTCTCCCTATTGCTCCACAGTAGGTTGAATCAGTAATCAGTAATTGACACATTGGGTTTTATTAACTTAATTGTAAATCAGGTAATAGATAAAACTAAAACTGCATGTTATAAATTAGGCAGAGGAAGACCTGCAGAATAAGTAACTCTTACCTGAAGCACATAGCTGTGGCTTAGACATGGCCAAGAAGAACAGGTCTTGGTGCAGTCCAGTAGTCAAACCCATTACAGTCTACAATGCCTCCAGTCCAGAATTGTAAGCCAAAGATCAATTTCAGAAACAGTCAGGAATGAGGGGCCACAGGAACAAGGTTTAACAACAGAAAAGTGTTTCCAAAGAGGGGGAATACTTTTAAATAACTGGAGTTTGAATCCTTATCTAATTGGGGGATTCAATGTACTTCACTCTTAAGAAGGACTGCTGATTTCCATGTCTCTAACCTCCTTTGCTTAGTGTTCTAAATTCAGGAACTGACTTCTTGTACTCTGAATCAGGAGCCACCTGTGCTGATTTTGAGTCATTCTGAGTGCATCATTATTCTCAGTTAGTTGACAGCTTCTTGACTCTCCAGCCACAGGCTGAGACTTTGCCAAGTTCTCTTCAGCCTCAGGATCAGAGGTTTCCATTATTTTGACTGAAATAGTTCTCTCGGGATAAGGAATATGTGGTTCAACAGATGATCTGTTGAACTGTTAGTCCTTTTTATATATACATATGAGGTCACATTTATGATATGAAGCTATTTCTTTCTAACAAGTTCCATGTAATAACACCTGAATAATGCAAGAACTATGCACTCAATCATTTGATGTATTATATAAAAGCTGTATTGGTTGTTGTGAAAGTAAATCCCGAGTAGCTCTGAGTAATTAATAATCAATATTAATCAAGTAATTAATAACTCTTCTAACACTGATAACTTTGTGTTTCAGAATGCCTATACATATATGATGGGAGCGTGTGTAATTGTGTTCAGGTTTTTTTCAATCTGTGGAAAGCACGTAAGTACCCATGAGGATTTTTCCCCCATGCTTACAGTAATTACACATTGAGTAAGTTGGACTGCTTTATTTTACTGAATTGAGGCTCTTATTTGTTTAAACCAATACTCTGTTATAGCCTAGGAGTAAATAATAATGAAAAAGGAACAGCTACACAATCAGAATTAGAAATATGAAAAATTGTTTAGTTTTCATGCTGCAAACTCCATATAGATGGAAGCTGACAACAAAAACATCCACAGAATGAATGAGTATATAAGTGTTTGCACACAATAGTAACATCTTCAAAAAATAAACATCAACATGAGACTTTTAAACATCCTCAGCAATAAATTAACAAACCTTTACCAATAACATTCCAACCAGGGGTGAAATTCAGCAGGTTCTGACAGGTTTTGGAGAACCGGTAGCAGAAATTTTGAGTAGTTCAGAGAACTGGCAAATACCACCTTTGGCTGGCCCCAGAGTGGGGTGGGAATGGAGATTTTGCAATATCCTTCCCCCAGGAGTAGGGAGGGAATGGAGATTTTGCAGTATCCTTCCCCTGCTACGCCAACCAAGCCATGCCCGCAGAACCGGTAGTAAGAAAAAAATGAATTTCACCACTGATTCTGACACAAATACATTCTAATCCACTTCACTATATCCATCTAGTAGTAATTATTTTGTTGAATTTAAAATGTTTTCCGTTTAAAATGAACAGTTTCAAATTCACAAAACAATGTTCTGGATCTGTGTCAATTTTGCTGGCTTAAAACAGTGCCTGGATTTGTTGCAGAGATTCTAGCAAAGTTAGAGCATCCTTGGAACAATCCCAATGAGTTTGGAACAGGGTCCACTTCAATTTCAGCACATTTCCCTTTTGACCCATGTCTCATACCAAGACTTTTTTTCCCACTGATTTCCAGGTGACTTTGAAGATGCTACTGTTGACAGTCGTTGTCAGCATGTACAAAAGCTTCTTCATCATTGTAGGAATGTTCCTACTGCTGCTTTGCTATGCTTTTGCTGGAGTAGTTTTATTTGGAACTGTGAAATATGGAGAGAACATTAACAGGTATGATTTCTGTCACTTCATCTGAAAATATTTGATACTGTGATGTTGTTTTAGAGCATCCTTGCTTTGATGGATGCCTGCATTGTTACATTACTAGAGAGGCAGCCCTATTGATCTGTGACTCAGAAAACCCAGCATCAAATATCAAAGGAGTGCTTATATAGCATTTCAAGTATACATGAATCCACTTGGCAATGACTGTTTGAGTATTTGCAGAACCTGCAAGCCAGGGAAACAACAGGGGATTTCATTTGGCCTGTTATTATAAATAATAGCTAGTCCAGGTTCAAGCTTAAGATCCAAAACATCCCCACAAAGAGACCTTATTCAAGCAATTTTCAGGGCAGTGCTGGTTACCCTGTCAGGTGACAGAAAGGTATATGTAACACAGCTAGTTCTGAACAATCTAAGCTATCCTGCTGCTCTAAATAATGTCATAAACACTACCTTACTTCCAACTAGGGAGTCTCATTCAGATGCCAGGCCAGTTCTTTTCTGTGCAGATTGGGGAAAATATACCCTTTTACCATTCATCTCAGGTAGCAGACTAGACTTGTATAAGTTAGCCTCGGTAGGGAGGGGGAGAATTACCCAAATACCCTAAAGCAGTGCTTCTCAACCTTGGCCCACCTGAAGATGCGTGGACTTCAACTCCCAGAATTCCCTAGCCAGCAGAGCAGAGCTCTGGGGGATTCTGGGAGTTGAAGTCCACGCATCTTTAGGTGACCAAGGTTGAGAAACACTGCCCTAAAGGATTGTTTGTGCATGCTTTTAGTTCTGAAATATTGAATAATATTTTTTATTTGTTAAAAACAGACATGCCAACTTTTCATCGGCTGGTAAGGCCATTACGGTACTCTTCAGAATAGTCACTGGAGAAGACTGGAACAAGATAATGCACGATTGTATGGTAAATTGACTGATTAAAATCATGTATCATTTTAGCCAGTAGAAGCTTTGCATCTTAAAAATATCTTACATTTTATTTTTAAAATGTTATCCTTCACCCAGATTTTGATTTATTGACTTTTGAAAATACTATAGAAATAAATGTGTAAGTACTTGGCAAATTTTATTAGCAAATATTTGTGCTATATACCCAACCAGGTTTATGCAGCTTTATTGCATTTATTAAAATGAAAAGTGACAGGTTTTCAGTTCTAGAGAAGATATTAACAATTTTGTTCAGTGGAATGTATTAACAACGTAAATAACTTTTTTTTATTTGCCGGATCGTTGAAGCAGTCAGTGAGAAATACTGTGAAATAATTCTCCCTTCCCTTCCCCCAAATTATCTCATTGATGTGGTAATGGACTCTAAGTTAGGAAGCACTTTAAGTGGGTGTTGTATAAAAAGAATAATATATTATATTCTGCATCAAAAGAAGAAATCTGTTTAGGAAGAATATATCTATTTATGACGGTTAGCAGAATAGAATTAAAAATATAAATGAAAATATTTAGTCCAAATAATTCAAGTTGGCAATTCTGTAGGAATATTTGGTCATTGTTGGAAATAGCATTTTGATTGATATGATCCATCTTCCTCTCTTGTCAATTCAGAATAATCTTTGTCTTTGGTCTTAAGGGAAAATGGTGTAGTCCTTTAGCAAAAGAAAGGAGTGGATGTGTTGTACAAGCAGTAAAAAGATTGACTTCCTACAATTCATGGTGACTCACACACACACACACACACACACACACACACACACACACACAATATTTTTGATTCAGAGGTTGAGAGAATGCTTGATTGGAAGAAAAACATGTGGAGTGGACAGCATCAGGGAAAGGAGGAAGTTGATCCATTCTGCTGATAAACATGAAGTTCATAATATATGTGTATGTGAGAAAGGGGGAGCATATCTACTTTTGTACCCCTATTACATGTAATATAGCTTTTTGTTTCATGCAGGTTCAACCTCCTTTCTGTACTCCAGATGTTTTTCTTCCAATCAAGCATTCTCTCAACATCTGAATCAAAAATATTGTGTGTGTGTGTGTGTGTGTGTATTAATTGTAGGAAGTCAATCTTTTTACTGCTTGTACAACACATCCACTCCTTTCTTTTGCTAAAGGACTACACCATTTTCCCTTAAGACCAAAGACAAAGATTATTCTGAATTGACAAGAAAGGAAGATGGATCATATCA